TATATGCCAAAATTTCAATGCTTATTTCAATTTAATATTAAAAAATGTTATACATAGTTCTTAAGGCTACATATAAGTAGTTAAGAATGGAAAAAAACAAAAATAAATGAAATCATAACATTAATTACACTGATTTGCGTGTGATTTTGTCATATATTCTTAAATTAATACTCGTACAAGTTAGGAAAAATATTAAATGCTTATTCTTACCCATTAGTGCTACATATAACATTACCCTTTAAAATTATAGAAATGTATGTATTTTTGTATTTAAATTAGGAAAAATTTACTCATATACGATTATTCTAATCGACTTATTTGATTCACAGTCTAACTTAATTGTTTCTATATCCTTATTCATAATCCTTACCTTTCTAAAAGTAGGACTAAACTCTTATGAATAGTGTTGAAATCATTATGCCCTTAAATTTTTTTATTTACATATTTACCTTTTCTAAAATATGACTAAACTTTTATGAATAATGTTGAGACAATTATGCTCTTAAAAAGTTTATTTACAACTTAATTGAATATATTTGCTCTTTTTAAAAAGTTTATTTGCTCTTAAAAAGTTTAATTATTATCTTTATCGTCTTTTAAAAAGTCCGAGATAATTTTTATGAATAATGTTTAACCAATTAAACTTTTTAAAATGTTTATTTATTTATTCGCCCTTGTTAATGTTAATTATCTCTTTTTATGAACTTTTAATAATAGTGTGTGAATATTATTACCCCTAAAAGTATTTAATTACATATTTTTCCTCATTAATACTAGCAACAACTAAAGTTGTGACATAAGGCCAAACCAAAAAAAGCTTCTTGGACATGTCTAGCTGAAGCTCTAGTTAAATATAAGTAAAAGATCTCATATGAGTATTTATAAAGTAAAAGTTATTGTTAAAGTATTAGATATTATTTGTAATAGAATCACTTGAGATTGCAAATGAGTCAAATAAAAAGAAGGGAAATTCTCATCGGTGACCCCCAACTTCTACTACGCACCAATGGTAACCCTCTTGGAAATTTATTATGCAAAATGACCTTAGTGAAAAATTTCATCTCACTCATAACCTTATTTCATTAAATAATTAATTAAAGTTAACTATGGTTAAATTTACATTTAAAATAATAAAAAAAACTAAAATAATTCACCCAACCACCAAAAACCGGCCACCTCCCCGGCCCAGCCACCATCTCCCTTTCCAGCGAGACCACCTAGACCACTCCCAAACCGCCGAACCCAAATCACGACCACCCCAGATCGCCGAACTTAGAACATCGACTTCTCCCAAATCGTCGAACTTAGAACCCCGACCACCCGCAGACCGCCGAAGCCAAACATCGACACCTCAGATCACCAAATTACCTAGAACTGACCACCGATCCTCCTACTCTCTCTTTCTTCTCCGCCTTCTCCTCCACCCTCTTTCTCTTTATCTTCCGCCTTCTCCGATCCCCGCCCAAAATCGAAGCCTCACGACGAAGCGACGAGAATCAGAGGAGAGAGAGTTGTGAGGTTAGGATTCGGTTCGGGTGAGAATCGAAGGTCAGAGACAAAGGTTTAGGCAGAGGAAAGGGTGAAGGCGATGGTTCGGCGGTTTGGGTGGGAGGTCGACGTTTTTGATGAGGGGGTTCGGGCTCCAGTGAGGGTGGAGACGGTGTTGGCTACATCTGGTGGTGATGAGGGTGGAGGTGGTAGCTGGGTTAGTGGTTTTTTTTTTAGTTAGTGTTTTTTTTAACTAAATAACACTAACTAATTTCATAATTGAGATAAATTTCTTAATTAGGGTCATTTTGTGTAATAAAAAAACAAAGGGAGGTCACCATTGGTGCGTAGTAGAAGTTCGGGGTCACCGTTAAATATTTCCCTAAAAAGAATTGAGGGAATACATTATTTTTTTAATCAAATTTAATTAACAATAGTCCACTATAATTTAAATTATCTCCTAGCATGGATAGCAATCCATATTAAGGTGAAATGGACATTTATTTCACTTACAAAGTTAATTAATTTTGTAATCAAAATTGGAAAAAGTTATATGCTATGAGATCATGTGTTTATTCACTGGATATTACCACACATATATAATTATTCCTAATTCATTACTCTCTTCGTCCCTAAATATAATCCCCATTTTTATTTTTGGTGGTCTTAACTATAGTTTTCATTTTCTTTTTTACTATTTAATGTTCTTTGGAAATCACCTATTTACCCTCAATTTTTTTTTGTCTTTATTAGGTGAAGTGTCAAAAGTACCCTTTAATTGTTTTTATTTTATGTGCATCATTACTCCACTTATTTACTTTAATATTTTTTTCATTGGAAAAAGTAAAAAATTACATTTTCTCTCTTCTTTAATGTAAATAATTATTAATTTGGAGTTTCCGTGTACTTTTAGTACTTCATTCTCCCATTTCTTAATTTCATTTTCGTATTATTTTTTCAAATAGGAACTATATTTAGGAATGGAGGGAGTATTATACTTCGTATTTGTTAGTACTAATTTTAACGGAAGTAATTAACTTATTTTCTTTGGTTTAAACTTTTCAAGGTTTACCATTAATTAATTCAGAGTTTTATATATGTTGTCCTAAAATTTCCAAAATTTGAAGAATTATATAAAAAGACAAATTTGTTGAATAAAGTAAAGTGGCAAACTTGCATGAACAGGATATCGTAGCTTGCCACATGCTCATATTTGACTTATGAAGATGTTGGCCATTTTTTGGATAACAAAATTTCTTATCTTTTTATACTACTTGATAGACTAGAGCATGGTTTTGTATGAAGACTTTCATAATCTCTACCTAAAAAAAAAATCTCTTCAATCACCAACGTAATAATCGGTATATGTGACTCTAATACGTTTCCTTTACCGGTAGTGGATACCATTTCTTAGCGGAGAGGTGATAAATTTTGAGGGAAGACTTTCTCACTTTTAACAAAAAAAAAGACTTTCTTACTTGACTTCCTCAGCATTTGTTTTTGTCTTATGGGGCTCGAAAAATTGCGCCAAGTGCGTGGATCATGCTTAGCTAGAATAGACCAAGAAATAATTACTCGGTATGACATGCTCATGCAGTCGTGCCAATCTTCCATACACAGAGCCCGTGCAAGTGTGGGATGGGTTGGGGTTTCAATGAATGTTAAAATCACGATTTTAATTAATATTTAATTCAATTTAATATTTGTATTTTTAGTGATCTTATTCAACGATTTTGAAGTTGTTCATTAATTTTTGTGTTTTTTAGAATCTCAACTATCTCATTTATTACTCCCTCCGTCCAAGTATAATTCTCATTTGGCTTATTTGGGTTAAAGTTAACAAACTTTGATCATAAATTCTTGTTGATATATAAGAGATTATATGTTCATGTGAGATCTTGTTGGATTCGTGACATTGTATATTTTTTTAATATCAAATTTTTATAATTTTTACGCGTAAACAAATAGAGATATAAACGTTTTAAGATACGTCTTGGAGACCGTGAAAAGTTAAATGGAGACTGAGGGAGTAAATCTTATTATATTAAAATCATTTAAATTGTCTAAAACTATATGCTTGTCAAAGTATAACATTTAGGAAAATTAGAGAGATCAGAGTAGTTAAATTGATGACTAATTTTGAAATATATGGAGTAATACATGAAAAGGTTTCTAATGGAAATATTTTTTTGAACCTTCATTATTGTGAAATAAGAAGAACAAATAAGATTGTAAGGAAAGTTTTTGAAAGCATTTATAGGATCCACATCTACATGAATAAGTTTTTATAAAACAAAAAATTAGATGTTACCAAAGTCACAAAACATTTGCAATCTAATGTCTATCAAAACTTGAAATCTATTCTTATATTTGTTCGTCCTCTATTCATTTACTGTATTATTTAGTACGAACAATTAAGTTCTAATAAGAATTCATAAGTTCAATGTATATACTTACCTATTAAATTTGAAATCATCAAATATTGTGTTGTAATTAATGGCTGCTTGTCACTTTAGCCCTTTCTAATAAAGCCAAAAGGTGGTGGAAAGGTCTTTTCTAGAAGATTTTTCAACCCTATAAAAAGCCAACCCTATGGATTATGGAATATGCAATAATTTTGTTTACTTAGCAAAAAAATTAGGACCGGAAAAAAGGACTTATTAGTTGAATATAATTCTGAAATTGGTACTCTGTATTAGGTTAAAACACTATAACAAATTTGTTAAATCAAGTGTAATACATGTAATACTTCAATTTATTTTTGTTAAACTTAATAATAATGTGGTATATATATATATTTGATGGTACATTTCCTTTTACCTGATTCCTAAAAATAAACTTTAAGAACAAAAAGAAATAAGAATTGAAGAGTATGAAGACCATGGAATAACAAAAAGGGTGGGAGGAAGAATTAAGGAAGAATATGTGACAACCTTTGTAATTAAAATTGTTATCCTTACCCATGAAAATGTTGTCTTTCATTCAATAGCTAAATAAAGAAAAATTGAATAACAACTTTTGCGTGACACAAGCTCTACTCCCAACCAAACAATCTCTATAAACCTTTCACCCATATTCTTTATTATCTTCAAACTTAATACAAAGTATTTTTTATATACTTGTATATATTTTTCTCTTAGAACCTTCTTATATATCTTCCTTCTTCTTAAACCATAACACAATTTCTAGCTATATATGGAAATATGGAATATAGTTTCAATTTATTATTGCATAAATATCACTCTTAACCTAAACACAACAATGTACACATTTATGACATTTATTATACGAACATATTGGCGCACCAAAAACCTTCCCAACTTCCAAACTACTCCATTTCTGGTCATTTTATGCCTAACTGTACCCCCTTTTTTCCCTTTAATTTTCTTTTAATTAATTTATTTATTTTTAATTTTAAATTGTTAAAATTTAATTTAATTTAATTTTTTTATTTTTTTATTTTTTTATTTTTTTTTAATGGTCTACACTCTTCACCTGCTTTTTGCCTCACATTACTTCAGGTAGGCGGTAGCTCTTAGTTGTAACTTATAAATAATTTGTTTTTGTTTTTTTTTTTTGTAAATATATTTTTGAATTTTTTATTTAATTTTTTTTTTAAATGACTTGTTACACCTTCTTGCCATTTGACAACTTGCTATATATAAATTCCTTATAAGTATGCATTTATCATTTGTGTCAGTCCTCCTATCTATCTATCTTACTCTCTCCCTTTACAAAAATAACCAAAATAGCTACAAAAAAACTATCTTAAGCTAAGGTCATCATGGACCAGCTTAAACCAAAACAAGCTAATTCTATCCCACTCACTCCATTAACACTCTTAGAGCGAGCTGCCATTGTGTACAGCGACTCGCCCTCCCTCGTATACAAGGCTACCACGTACACGTGGGCCGACACCAACCAGCGATGTCTTCAGATGGCTTCTTCTATTACTTCTCTAGGTATCACACGGGGAGACGTCGTGTCAGTTGTCGCCCCGAATGTACCCGCAGCCTATGAGCTACATTTCGCAGCCCCTATGGCAGGGGCCGTACTTAATAATATTAATACTCGTCTTGATTCTAGGACGATCTCCGTCCTACTACGTCACAGCGAGTCGAAACTTGTATTCGTGTATTATCAACTTCAATCCCTTGTTTTGGAGGCTATATCCTTACTCCCTGCCGAGCACCCACGTCCTATTTTAGTACTCGTTACCGATAACGAATACGACTACGACCCTGTCACGCTTAGCGACGAAACCCTCAAAGCTAAGCTTGGTGATAATATCTGCCAACCAAGCAAAGAGTTTCAAACGACATACGAACTTATGGTTAAGAATGGTGATCCGGGATTTAACTGGATCCAACCCGAAAGCGAGTGGGACCCGATTGTGCTAAACTACACCTCCGGAACGACGTCGTCCCCGAAGGGTGTCGTGCATTGCCACCGTGGCTCGTTCATCACTACGATGGACTCGCTCGTTGATTGGTCAGTTCCGAAACAACCGGTCTACTTGTGGACCCTACCAATGTTCCACTCCAATGGGTGGGGCTTTACTTGGGGGATGGCGGCAGTTGGTGGCACTAATATCTGTCTTAAGAAATTCGACGGCGCAACCATTCACGCCGCCATCCGGGCCCACCAAGTCACCCACATGTGTGCAGCACCAATAGTCCTCAACATGCTCACCACCCTAACCTCTGACCCGGGCCCACTTTCCTGGCCCGTTCATGTCCTAACGGGCGGGTCACCCCCACCCGCACCCATCCTCCTCAGAGCGGAGTCTCTCGGGTTTGTGGTTGGTCATGGGTACGGACTCACCGAGACGGGCGGCGTGATTGTTTCGTGCGCTTGGAAGTCGCATTGGAACCGTCTCCCCGCCCTTGAAAGGGCCCGGCTTAAGGCGCGTCAGGGAGTCCGGACCATCGGGATGACCTGGATAGATATAATAAATCCATACACAGGACAACGCGTTAAACGGGACGGGAAGACCGTTGGAGAGATCGTCTTTCGAGGTGGGTCCATTATGTTAGGGTATCTTAAAGACCCTGAAGGAACTTCTAAATGCATGAGAAATGATGGTTGGTTTAGAACAGGTGATCTAGGTGTAATGCATAAAGACGGGTACTTAGAGATAAAAGATCGTTCTAAAGATATTATCATAAGTGGTGGTGAAAATATTAGTAGCGTCGAGGTTGAAAACGTGTTGTATACTTTCCCCGTGATTAACGAGGCGGCGGTGGTGGCTAAACCGGACGAGTATTGGGGAGAGACGCCGTGCGCATTTGTAAGCTTGAGGAAAGGATTGAAAGAAAAACCAACGGAAAGAGATGTAGTAGAGTATTGTAGGTCAAAAATGGCACATTACATGGTGCCTAAAAATGTTGTGTTTATGGAGGATCTTCCTAAGACTTCAACAGGGAAAATTCAAAAGTATTTACTTAGGAAAATGGCTAAGGATTTGAGTAAAGATGAAACTAGTATTACTACTGGTACATCATTGGCAAGTCGTTTATAGAATTATTTATTTTACTTTTAAGTTGTTGCATTGTATAATGATGATGATTCTTTTAGGTTTAGTTGTGATTTATTTTTCATAAACCTCTTGTATTTTATATTTTGGGTTATTTTGCAAATTGGTTGCAATTTGATATATTTTACAATAAGTTTTATTTGCTCATTTTGATTGATTTTTTATACCTATATTTCTAAATTTGATTCTTTTGTACTTCGATTTTTTTTTTTCGTTGTGTAATATATTGAGACAATTGAGTTTAGTTTGATAGTTGTTCTGTTTGCTAGAATTAGTTCTTCGTCTTCTTACCCTGACTACACTAATTGTTCCTGGACCTCGCTGTCTACTACTTCCTTTGATGCATATATTTGAGCAACGAAATTTTTAATGATAATATAAACATCATGAGAAATTAGCAAGACTTCATATAAATATTTCCTTTTCAAACCGATGAATGAGCATGATCAAAACTTCTCTCATCTCAAGTTAAATATTCTAGACTTATTATACTCGTATAATTTATTTAGATGAGACAAACATAAAGATATAGAAAGAGCAATTACTTCCTCTTTTTCTTTTAAGCGAAAATTACTGTTTTGAATACCATTTTGAAGTGCCTCTTTCTTTAATTTCGTAAATAACTTTGTCAATTCATGTTGTTGTCCAAGTGATTATAAATTAAAAATCGGGATATGTATAATCAATGTTTAAGGGACAGAGGGATTCGAGGGAGTACAAATAAAGCTCAACATCGTCCCACTACATCAATATCCTTAGGAAGTGGGCATACCCTAATTTATTTGCAATGTCGTCTAAGGTTATAGTTAACACTGTGGACTAGAGTCATTCATTTCATAATGTAGTTAACAATTTTCGTTTCTTAATTTTCTTAACACTTTTACTTCGCTTGTTTTTAGCAAACTTATTTATTTATTTATTTATTTATTTATTTTACTATTACCTTTACCTCACAATATTTACACTTTTATACAAATTTTCACTTATTTTCTAATACAACCAATTTTTTTTTTAACTCTCTTATTATATCCACCCCATTCTTACACGGTTACACCACTTACCTTTGTATACAGTGCATTTTTCCTAAATTCTTGTGGACCAATTCATTTTTTGAAATTTACATTAACATCATTTTTTGATTGGACACCCACATGGAAAGATAATTTCCCCTGAAATATCTTTATATCACACCCACTTCTCTCTAGTAGTGGACCAATTCAATAATTTGGCAGCAATAAAAGTGAATTGACTCTATTGAAAATGAAATATACTTATTACTTATGTTCCTTTACAATGTTTTTTCCGTTTGTAATTTTCAATTTGAAAAGAAAAAGTTTAACCTTATTGTATATTATATGTGATGTATTATATACAAGGAAAAATATAACGTTATTTATTATTATTATTATTATTATTATTATTATTATTATTATTATTATTATTATTATGTGTTCTATATATTGATATACATTTTCAAATTATTAATATAGTCTCATAATTGGCTTTTGTTAACGAACGCCCAAAACGTTATATGACAATTTAAAATATTACCTAAGTAGTAATAATTTTGGAATGCATGTTAAAATCACGCGTCAATCTCGGTGTAATTAAATTTATAATAAATGTTTATTACAACTTAATATTCTACAAAAATACTACGGATTTTTCATGAAATACCACTGAGTTTTTCCAAAATTCACCATATACCACACAAAAATTTTTAATTCACCATATAGCACTGAGTTTAACATAAATGTCACAACATGTCATTTCCGTTAACTCAGTTAGTCATTAACGTTAATTGTGCCACATGACAGCTTGTAATTAGTTGCCTTTTAAATTATTTAACTTTTAAAATAACTATTTAATTAATTATCAAAAAAAAAAAACCCTTATCCTCTACTAGGCCACCGTAACCCCAACCACCACCTCCACCTGTCGCCGGCCGGCTGCGCTTACCCCTCCCTTCACCTGCCCCAATGCTGCGCCGCTCTCCCCCCAATCCCCCTGTACCGGTGTTGTGACCCACCCCCACCCCCAAAAATCGACCCAACCACTATTCCAGAACTCCCACCACCCCGAAATCCCCAAAAGTCGACTGGGGGTCGATTTTGCGGTGGTCGATTTTTGGGGATTTTGGGGTGGTCGATTTTTGGGGGTTTCAGGGTGGTTGGGTGGTCGATTTTAGGGGGTCAAGTGAGGATTGGTGGTTGTGGGGGTTGCAGATGGGGGTGCGGTGGTCGATTTTTGAGGAGAAAAACGTTAATGGTGGACCGGTGGTTGCGGGCTTGCGGCGAAGGAGAGGACGAGGTTGGCTATGGTGGATTGGTGGTTGCGGGCTTGCGGCGAAGGATAGAGAATTTGATGGTGGTGCGGAGGACGAGGTTGGCTATGGTGGAACCGAACTTGGTTGGCTATGGTAGCCTGGTGGTTGCGGGCTTGCGGCGGAGGTGAGACGGTTGCGGGCTTGCGGCTGTGGAAGGGGGATGGGTTTCCGGTGAGACTAGGGAGGAGGGGACGGGGCTGGGGAAGGGGGGTGGTTTCTGGTGGCCAGATCTGGGAATGAAGGGGTGGCTGTGGATTTTTTTATTTGTTTTTTGATTTTTTAATTCTTTAATTCTTTATTTAAGTAATTAATTAGATAATATTAATAAGAGCCAATAAGTGAAAGCCACGTGGCACAATTAACCTTAATTACTAACGGCGTTAACGACAATTAGAAAAAGTGGCATTCTGTGTTAATGTACATAAACTCGGTGAATTAAAAATTTTTGTGTGGTATATGGTGAATTTTGGAAAAACTCAGTGGTATTTCATGAAAAATCCGAAAATATTATCTTATCAAATGTCCACAAGGCGTTCGTTAGCTTTTACCTTTATAAATTTTTATTATTTGCTATAAATACTCCCTCCGTCTCTTAATTAAAGGATGATTCTATGGTAGTCATCCTTAAATTGACTACCATCATACTAATTTTTTATTGGCTGCTTTTGTTTGTTTGTTTTTTTTTTAATGTTAAAATTAATTATAAATCATTTATCTAATTTTAAAAATTCATTTATTAATTTAGAAATAAGTTTTGATTTTTTTTTTAATTTTCCTAATGAATTTATAAAATTCAATTTTTATTAAAACTTAAAATTAAAAAATTATTTATAAATTAATTATGAAAATATAAAAAAACAATTTAAAATTTTTATTTATAATTAAATTCAAATCAAATCAGTTGATATCAGACTTTGAAAATATTAGACTAGTAAACTTAATTAAGGCAAAGAGATAATATCCTACATAACTGCATGGATCGACATTCAACAGTGCATTGTTATGTTATACGAAGTATATCAACATTTGGTCATTGTCGTTTCAATTGAATATGATTGTTTATTGTTTACTACAAAGTACTAATTGATTAGGGGATTTTGCTCCCACCAATCGGAATGCGCCACGTGGACCAATCAGGTCCTGCCAAGTGTCCCCCAATTGGAACAGTCAGGGCTTCCCACGTGGCACGCGCTTATTCGTCCACCTTGGACCTGTTATGTCAAGACATGTGGCATACTCCATGCCTAATGGAAAAACCGGCCACCCAGGCCCAACTTCCGAGGGAAGCCCAATCGGCCCTAGGTTTACCTAAACCTAGGATGGGCACGTTTCCCAAGGTTATAAATACCTCCCTTAATCCTCATTAAGGGGGATGACAAAAAGAGAACAGAAACATTACGGAAAAAACACATTAATTACACACAGTAATAACCGGCGGATCTCGCTAACAAAGCAGATTACCTACATTAAACACTCTCACCTAGAGAGACCAAATCACTTTAATTTCCGCATTAATTACTCCTTAATCAGGTACTAACTTGACCGTTGGAGGCGGAGCTCACAGGAGTCTCCGTTATTTTGCAGGTACAGGCGTCCGGTTCCAGTCTCGGAATTGTAACTCTCCCGCAGGACATCAGAAAACCCCGAAACATTTGGCGCCGTCTGTGGGGAGAGTACTTCTGAGATGGCATCCAAGTCTGTACCGACTCCTGAAGAGAGGCGTCCCCTAGACGACCCTCAAGTTCAGTCGGACCATGAAAGTGAATTTGAAGTTGAAGCTCATACAGCTTCAGACGAGACCCTAAGGGCCCGACGTACCCGTCATACCGAAAGGAGGGAACGGGAGCATTTTCAAACAGGAAGCGAGCCAGCAGGCGCACCGCCTGTTCGGCAACAACCGACTGATGGGTCTGCTCCCATCACAAGGAACGAACTCATGACCTTCATGAGGGACTTCAAGGGAGAGATTCAAGAGTTGATCAACAAGAAGCCGACTGCTCCGAAACCCTCCACTTCACTGAAGAGGAAGCCAGTTCAAGGGCGAGAGGCGACTCCTCATCCTAAATCTAGGAAGCGGGAGCCACCTGCCCTTGATTTCACAAAATTTCGTTATCCTACAGGAAATAGGAAACCTGTTCGTCATATTCAGGCGGACGGGTCAAAGCAAACATTCACAGATGCTCGGCTACTGCTAGAGCAGAAGAAGAGTGACCGATTGTCAGAGTCGGCCTCTACTTCAAACTTTCAAGACAGTTTGCGAAATGCCTCGATGAGGCATACTCAGTCGTATCATGAGAGTCAGTCAGGCGGCACCTCCCGTCAGTCCGGCTTTCATAGCGATCAGGCGGTACCAAAATTACCATTTGTGCCGCAACAGTATTTTTTGCAGCCACCTCCGTTTGGTGGACCTGCAGCAAAAAACGTCCAACCTATGGACTGGCAGCTACGGTTGCTTAGACTTGGTGAACAGCCGTCGGCCTTCTCCAAGGAAATTACTGAAGCCGCTCAGCCGGCCAAAGTGAAAAATGTACTAGTAGGCGCCTATGACGGTACTACTAACCCAGAAGACCATCTGATGGCATTCACCAACCTGATGTACCTTCAAGGGTTGGATGATCCCACCTGGTGCAAGTGTTTCCCAGCGACTCTCAAAGGAATCGCACAACAATGGTTCGGCAAC